ATGGGCTGGCCCGGGCACCAGCCTGGCCATTGGCGGACGCGGAAGGGGGCCGGCCGTCGGCGGGGCCTTTTCTCTCGCTTTCCTTTCGCTTTCCTGCGCCGCGGCCCCTCAGCGGTCCTGCTGTGTCTGAGCCTTACTCCTGTCACACCCCAATCCGGGTAGAGACGACCCTGCACACCAGGAAAGGCTGCACCGCTGCACGCTCCTACCCAGCCCTGGCGGCTCCGGCGCTCTGAGTGAGTGGGCAGGTGGTTCTGGGTGCCCGAGGGTGGACGCCCAGGGACTGGGGCCCGCAGGGCAGTCCGCTGCACGCCGGGCGAGAGCTCGCATTTCAGAGAGAGAACCTGTCCTGAGTGTCCCAAGGGTGAGCAGGACCACCTGCTCTCGGTGGTTGCCCAGTCAGTCGTTCTCTGGCATTCGCAGGATGACTCTGAAGTAGAATGTCTTCCCCAGAAGACACTGCACCTCTTACTGCCCCTGCCCACGTTTTCTTCTTTTTTCAGAAAGTTTCATTGGTCGTGAGCCATCCTGGTGAGCTGTCTCGGAATCCTGTAGGCACCTCCAACGTCTAGACTCTTAACGGACTGTGTGCTTGCTGTTTGTTGCGTGAATTCCCCAGCCCCCTGCTGGGGCACAGAGTGACAGGTCAGTAAGTGGTCATGACAGTGAATGAATGGATACGTGACTCTGGAATCTTAACTATGTTTAAGGATGGAGGAACTTAGTGTCTTTCTGGAAATAAAAAGTTCCTGCAAACCCCCAAATAATACAGTTACTCTTTTCAACAAAGTTCTGAACAGAAAAGAGTTCCGGGGCGGGTACATAGGTGTGTGGGTGGTTGTGCTGTGAAAATTGTTTTTATAGGTGAGAGAGTGAGTTGTTTTTGTGGGGCAGAATAAGACTGGAGCCTCAAGCACAATCTACTGTGCAACAATTAATGAGGATGCTGGGCTCAAACTGGTGGAACCATAATCAGATTGCCTTTTCCTCCTAATTCCATCTGAAATACATAAGATTTTAATTTAACAAACTTATTGAGCTATATGCAGGGCACTATCCCAAGTCCTTTTTTTTTTTTTTTTTTAAATAAAGAAAAATAGTCCTTCCTGAATTCTGGAACTTACCCCGCTCAGAGGAGACATCACTAGAGCTTTACAAGGAAGACTAGAACTGCGTCTGGGTAAGTCTCAGACAGCTTAATGGAGCAAGAGGCATTTGTACCTAGTTTTGAATGCTGGTAGGATTTAGAGAAGCAAAAATTTGTGAGGAGGCTGTTTGCAAAGGTGAGTGGCAGCTGGAGTGAAGCAGAAATTTTGGGCACTGGCCAATAATTTGGCAAGTGGATTGCTTTGTTGATGGATGAAGATGGACGTGGAGTGGAAATCAGCCTAGGAATGGACAAACCATAGCATTTTTGCACAGAATCCTGATGGAGTCTAATCTGTGTGCAGTAGAGGCTGGAATGGGAAGATAAAAGTGTGGGAAGCAAGGAGATAGCATGTCCTGGATTAGAGAGAAGAAGTCAACATTCATTTGGGTTTGAGCCAGGTTACTACCACTTCCTGGGTTGACAACACATTTTATGAGAAGAAGAAATTGATTCTGGATTTGTTCATTGATAAATATTGACTCACCTGCTCTGTGGAAGGTGCAATGTATGTACTAGCTCATCCGATCGTAGCAACCACCTTGGTGATGGAGAGAGTAAATCATCTGGGTTCACTTGGCTAATGAGAGACATTGCAGACCCTGCTAGTAACAGTCCAACGTATTTGTTTTAGGCACATTCTTACTGGACACCGAGCAGGAAGGGAGGGAGCTGAAGAGTTGGAGGCTTCTGCTCCAGGACAATAAATTTGAAGTGAAAAATCAAACTGCTACAGCAGGTGTAGCAGGGAGTGGACTTGAATTCATTTCTACTGGTATTTGTGAGGGTAACTAGCTTTATAGTCCAGGCATTTCTTTACTCTCTTTCGGAAGGACATTCACGGAGAGGGCATGACTTCATGCTTGCACATGCATGCTTGATAATAAGCATGCATACACACTCTTCCGTGTCCTAATTTAAAAACCGGACCCCCTCCTTTGAGGTCTGGCAGGACAACTCTGAATGTTGCCAGTCATGTGTTGATATAAATCCTAAATTGTGTTATGGTCATGGAAGGTCCTTCATCTTCCAGTTGGATTTTAGGACTTCCTTAAATTAAGTTTTTGTTACAATTTTTAATCTCCAGAATAGCTACATAGAAATTGGCTTAATGGTTATCAAGAGGTAAGTATTATTTTATCCTTTCAAATTACATTTAACATCATTGTTTCGATCTTTAAAATTATTGCTAAAATTTGGGGCCAGCAGGTGGTGTAGTGGTTACAGTGCTGGACTCCCCACGTGGCTGACCATGGCTGGAGTTCGAGCTCCAGGGGCTTGAAACTCATGCCAGATGCTTATGCGCACATGCCCAAAATCCCAGGAAGAGAAGGGATTGTGACATGGCCATCTCCCCTGGGGGATGATGTCTCACTTTCCCACTCACTGTTTCTGTGTGTCTTTCATTTCCAGTGAGCTCATGTAGCCTAAGGCAAAAATCTTAAAAAAAAAAAATTATTACTAAGATTTAAAACATTTTTTTGCCAGCTATATTGCTAGTAATAGGCAAAGAAAATGTGTTTCTCTTAAACTGAGTATGACAAAAATAATTTTACTGTATAAGATAAAGCGCAAATGCTAAAATATTAAAATCTTAGTTTTAAATATATTGAGTTAAATCACAAATGTACTGTAATTTGTAGGAGAGCAATTTTGGAGAGTTCCTGTGATTTGTCTGAAGGCAAATATAATTAATTAATGTTTTCCATTTATTTGATAAAAGTGCATTGTCATTTTAAAGGCATACTTACTGGATAACACTGTTCTAGAGGTACACCAACAAACAGAATCCCTCAAAAGTCTCTCTTTTATGTGGCAAAAAAAAAAAAGACAATAATCAAAATTTTTAAAATGGGACTCTGTGGTAGTTTAGACAGTGCTAAGTGCTATGGCAAAAATACATCAGGGGGCTGGCGTTGTAACACAGTATTTAAGCACCATGCATAGGAAGCTGGATCCCATCTGGCTGACTGCAGTTCAAATTCCAGCCCTAACAGCTTGAAAAACATGCCAGGCACATTTGTGTGTGTGCTTTAAATCCTGATGGGATGGAGAGATGGACGGAAAAGGATTGTGATGTGACTGTCCCATCGGGGGGTTGCTGCTTCCCTCTTTGGTGACCACACATAGCTTCTTGTAATTAAAAAATAAAAGAAAAGAAAACTAACATTGAGGAAAAGGAGTAGTGTTTTCAAGAGCTGGAGGTGGTTGCAGTTTAAATAAGGTGGACAGAGAAAATTGCCCTGATACATTGACAATTGAGCAAAGATCTGCAAATGTGTGTCTCCTGAAGGAGAAAAAAAAAGACCTCAAAACTTACTAAAAACCAGGCTTTAGAATATAGACACAATCAAGAAAAACAGGTTTGGGCTAAGCAAGATACTTAAAAGAAACATCGTGCTAGAAAGGACTTTTTTTGGAGAGATTTTTCCTGTAGAGGGCGTGCACTTGCTGGAGAGATGGAGAGAGACAGAAAGTGAGAAAGCACCCCTTGGGCGGATGACCTCACTGCAGTCCCTCCTCCTACATTCTCCTTTTAGGATTTGGGGCACACATGTACAAACACCCAGTGCGAGTTTTAAGCCACCAGGTCTGGGACTCAAACTGGGGTCAACTGTGTGGGAGTCCAGCAACATAACTATTATGCCATCTGCTGATCCATAGAAAAGGTTCCTTTAGAACTATGGTCTTTTTTTTTTTTTTTTTTTTTGGAGAGGTTTATGCTATAGGGCCCATGCACTCACCAGAAAGAGAGAGACAGAGAGACAGAAAGCGAAAAATCATCTCCCAGGGAGGATGGCCATGCTGCAATCCCTTCTCCTCCTTTCTTCTTTTGGGATCTTGGGCCCGCACGCACACATGCCCGGCGTGAGTTTAAGCCACCGAGTCTGGGACTCGAACCGCGGTTGCCTACATGGAAGTCCAGCGACATAGCCATTATTCTAACTGCTGGTCCCTAGAGCTGTGGTCTTTAATAATATATGTTCTTTTTCCCTTTAGGATGTCTCAGTGGTATGAGCTGCAGCAGCTTGACTCCAAATTTCTGGAGCAGGTTCACCAGCTTTATGATGATAGTTTCCCCATGGAAATCAGGCAGTATCTGGCACAGTGGCTAGAAAAACAAGACTGGTAAGGATAACTCACTACCAGAAGTAGTTTATTTATTATTATTATTTATTAAAAATAATTATATATTATTTATTATTATTTATTAAAAATACTTGTGTATTAAGTGACTGGAAATGTTTACTGGACATGAGTCTTATCAGTGACTATTGGGATTGTCTGTTGCAGAAAAGTTTGTTGATTTAAAAAGGGGCATGTTTTATTTTTTTTCTTAAGAGAAAGATTTATGCTGTAGGGCGTGTATGCTCATCAGAGAGACAGAAAGCAAGAAATCACTCCCCCAGGGGGGATGGCCACGCCACAATCCCTTCTCCTCCATTCTCCTCTCGGGATCTTGGACACATGCACATGCCTCCGGTGTGAGTTTTAAGCCACCAGATTCAGGACTTGAACTGTGGTCAACTACATGGGAGTCCAGGCCATTACGCCAATCTGCTGAAAAGTATCATGTGTCTTTACAAAGCTAATCACTTTAGTCATTAAACACTTCTAGGTAGTTTTGTCAAATGTAATTATGACACGTACTTGTAAATGCTTTAGACAGTAGGTAATACTGGCAACAATTATTTGGTTGCCAGGGAAGTCATGACATAGTTTAACGTGGAAAAACACATCATGACTTTCATTTCGGCCTAATATTTTCCAACCTAGAATCCAAACTATAGAAGAAGTAATTTAAAAGAAAAAAAGTCAAATTTTGGTAAAACATTGATTACAAATATGGAGAAGATAATACAATTAAGGGATATCTTTTAATAATATTCATTTTACTTTAAAGTTTATTGTTTGTTATTGCAAATATTTTGAACAGCTGAAAATATTTGATATAATAAATGAAAGACCTCTCTCCCTTTAGAAATAGTCGTCTGAATATTTACCTATACAATCTCTTAGAATTCTAGAATTTTTCATGCTAATTGCATATAATAGAAATACTGTATAAACTACTGTTTTAAAAATGTCAGGTTCAGGGGACCAGCAGTTAGCCTAATGGCTGTGTCGCTGGACTCCCACGTAGTCGACCACGGTTCGAGTCCCGGACCCGGTGGCTTAAACTCACGCCAGGCGCGTGTGCGTGCATGCCCAAGATCCAGAGAGGAGAATGGAGAAGGGATTGCAGCGTGGCCATCCCCCCTGGGGGGTGATTTCTCACTTTCTGTCTCTCTGTCTCTCTCTGTCTGTCTGTCTGTCTGGCGAGCGCACGTGCTCTATAGCAAAAATCTCTCCAGAAAAAAAAAAAGTCAGCTTCAGGAGAAAAAAACTAAGAAAACTCTTTAAGATTTTTTTATAATTTCAGTATGGAAAGCAAAGTTCGTTTCGTCTGTTTTAAGAAGTATTTCGAATGTAATGTGTCGATTTAAAATCTCCTAGGGAGCATGCTGCCAATGATGTTTCATTTGCTACCACCCGTTTTCATGACCTCCTATCCCAGCTGGATGATCAGTACAGTCGATTTTCTTTGGAGAATAATTTTTTACTGCAGCATAATATAAGGAAAAGCAAGCGTAATCTTCAGGTATGTCTGTGTTTCTGTGTTTTACTTGGAATGTCCCCTGTTTACATGAGACAGCTGTCTTTATTTGGGAATACTGTTGAGCACACATACGTTGGTATTTAGAGACAGGACAGGGACTATAAATAAACTCTTTATTGTGGCTAAAATTTATAGCATAAATAAAATAAATGATCAGTTTCTTTATAAACTCACGGGCATTCTCACCTGTAAGACGTCAGTAATTCTGAAGTAAATGTGATTTTATAACCTCGTTTCACTAAAAAAGTATTGTTATATATACCAAAGAAGAGAGGCTGAGTTTCAAAACCAGTGAGCTATAGTAACACATCAAAGCTCCAAAGAACTTCTGTGATCGGTTCAGTTTAAGTTCTTGGTATACGGATGACCAATAAGTACAGAAAGATTTGACCTTTTAGAGGCTCAGGAATGAGTTGGTGTATTGTAACCATATCCACCTTGCCTTACTTCTGGTGGAGTTGCCCTTCCCTGGAAGATAAAGTCAAAGGAAGACCCAGACAAGAGATAACATACTACAGAGTTTCAGTTCTTCAAATGTACTCCCAGCATGCCCTTGATCTGGCTGCCATATTTATTTCTGTATTAGTGGAACTTTTCTGTTTTATTTATTTATTTATTTAGAGAGAGTTTTGTTAGAGGGCACTTGTGCTTGACAGAGAGACAGAGACAGAGACAGAAAGCAAGAAATCACCCCCAGGGGGAATGGCCACACCACAATCCTTTCTCCTCCATTCTCCACTCAGGCTTTCGGGGATGCATGCACATGTACCTGGTGGGAGTTGCAAGCCACTGGGTTCAGGTCTCGAACAATGGTCAGGTGTGTGAGAGTCCAGTGATTCAACCATTGTGCCATCTGCTGGTCCTTAACTTTTCTGTTTTAATAGAGGCGAAAGCTATCATTTTCTTGTTTCATATAACACAGCCATACTTTTCACCATAGATTATTGCAGACTTTCCTTTGTGAGTGTATCTGTGATGATATAATACCAGTGAGTAGGTATTTCACTTACAGAAGTTTGCTCTCGTACAAGCTTTGCTTGAAGGTACTGTTAGAAGGAGCTATGATTTGCAGTATTTGTCCTTGACAATGGCAACAGAAAGTCTGAGGCGATATTTTTTATCTAATTCAAAGCATAGACCAACAGATACATTAATTGAGGAATATCCTGGGTATTTTTTATGTCATTTGCATTATTTCTGGATCTTAACAGAAGATAGTTGGTCTCAAGAAGTGTGGAAATATTATTTAAAAAATAAATACTCTAAATATATATTGTAAAAAGAATAAATGCATATTATAAATATATATTTAAATTAAAATATATGAGCCATATATGAAAATAACTTGTAAAAAAGAATTTTTGCTAGAGGGTGCATGTACTCACTGAAGAGAGAGAAAGGGCAAGTCAGAAGGCATCCCCAATGGGGGATGGTCACACCACAGTCCCTTCTCCATTCTCCTTTCAGGATTTTAGACATGCATGCACACACACATACCCAGTGTATTCTTCAAGCTCCCAGGTCTAGGACTCGAACCAGGCTGTTAGCCAGGTGGATCCACCTTAAGCACCATGCCACCAATTGACCCATAGTTTTTTTTCAGTCAAGAAGTGCTTTAGGTACTTGTACTTAATTGGAAAGTTAAAACAGTTTTTGTAATAATTTATGAAAGGGTTAGTATGATTTGAACAAAAAAGCTTATATTAGAATTTAATAGATGTGAAATGAGGTCTCTCAGAGAATACCAACACATTCATATGAATTTATCATATGCAGTGGCTTAAGCATTCTGAATTTTAATTTGTTTTTATTCTAACTATCCATGTGTAGGATAATTTTCAGGAAGATCCGGTACAGATGTCCATGATCATCTATAGCTGTCTGAAGGAAGAAAGGAAGATTTTGGAAAATGCCCAGAGATTCAATCAGGTATATTTTTTTCTAATTAATCACTAAGAATTATAATACAATAAAAACTCATTTATTTATTCATTCAGCAAACATTGCTGAGGCTTCAATACAAGGCAGTGGTCAATATCAATCTGATTTCATAGCTCCAAGGAATGGGAAAAATCTAGCTTAGAGATTTTATTTAACCAGGCTTTAAGGAAGATCCTAATCTCGTGGAATTAAGGTCTAGTGAGGAGAGAGACAACTCTTAAACTAGATCCTTTTAGCTACCGTAAGGCACTATGAATGGTGACATGTTGGGGGAGAGGAATGACAGGGCAATGAGGTTGATTCTTTAAATCAGGGTCAGGAAACTTCTGAGGTGCTGGCCTAGGAATGGAAACAGGCAGATGGGCGTTCTTGGAGTAGTGGAGGAGTGGCAGTGGAGGCACGCAGTCCATATCATTAGTGGAGATGGGAAGAATTGGACAGAAACAGGTTATGTTTTAGGCATGGTGCCAACAAGGCATTGAAGGATTGGATGTAGGAGTGAGAGAAAGTGAAGAACCTACGATTGTGACTTGAGCCACTGGAGAATGGTAATGCTGTTATCTGAGCTGGAAAGACAGGGAAGAGAGCAGAACCAGGGCTTTTAATAGGACATAATAGGTTTAGGGGGAGAAGAATTGGTTAGGGAGAAAAAGGCTTTGTTTTGAAAGAGGTTAAGCTCTTCTATTAAATATTTAAGACATCCAAAGAGTAAATGAATTGGAGTTGTACCAGTACCAAGATTTTTCATCACGGATCTTCTAGTCCTAAAATAGACTTGCCTGGCAATCAGAGTCCACAGTGTTTTGAAGTTGCGTTGGCATTTGTCATTCCTTTCTTGAGCAGTGGGTTGGTGGCACTCCAGCAGGCAGGCAGGGAGTTGTGAAACCACGTTCTGGCTGAGACCATTCCAGTAGGAGGGGGGAATGCCAATATACACAGGCAATGCATCCTGTTGCATTTCACTAACAACTAGCAGGAGAACCATGCAGCAGCAGTGGGGAGGGAGAGAGGGTTTAAGTGGCAGTTGTGGATGCTATTCTGCATCTTGAGTATTTGTCCAAGTCCTTTTGAATCTGCTCTTCCTGGGCAGTAGTTCCTGTCTCCCTGTCACACTGAATGTACCTTGCTGTACCAAGCTCATAAAGATATGTATATTTGTTACAAATTCAAGCTGGTTAATTCAACTTGTACCCAACCTAGTGAATGAAAGTATATATCAATGTCGAAGGAAAAGCTGGCCGTGTCATTATCTGTGCAACTGGGTGTGTGTCTGGAAGGTTTTCAGTAAGATGTTTTGATTATGTGGGATTTTCATCCCAAGAGTAGTAAGTCATGGGACTCTCTTGTGTTTCAGATATTCTTTAGTGGACAGCTATATGCAGAGGCGGGCAGAAGGACAAACTGTCCTTCTCACCCAAGCATGTCCCTCCTCGTGTTTGGCTCCTTGGCCCAGCATTGGCCTTGCAGGCAGAGGAAGTGGTTTCTGCTCTCCGTATCACCCCACCCCCTGGCTATTCTCTGGGCCTTGAAGGCTTGTGGCCTTTGAGCTCTACACTAAAAGTGTAGGTAGGTAATCTGGCAAGAGGTTCATTCGGAACCTCTCAGAGGATAACTAAGTTATCAGTGAACACCTGCAAGATAAGCTCCTGCATGTCTGAGGGTATCAAGGCAAGGGAAAAGGTAATTAGGTGCCTCCTTCCCAAAGATGTCCAGCTTGGCATTACTACTGGATTGGCATTTTAGAAACATTTCTTTGCCATTTCTTTCACCACTTGTGGAAATAACTACATTTTATTAACGTGTCTTCTAATTATACTGTAACGTGTAGGCATGGAGTGATGAGACATCTGTTTGCTCCAGAATAATCCAGATTTGAGGCCAGAGGAATAAGGAGAATGTGGATAAAATAAGAATGTCCATGAATTGATAGTGGTTCAAGCCATGTGGCAGCTACATGGGGAGTCAACAGAGTGGTCAAGTTAAAAACATACAAACTTCTGAGGCTGGCAGGAGGCATGGTAGTTAAAGGCACTGGACTCCCACATAGCTGACTACGGTTCAAGTTCCAGACCTGGTGGCTTGCTTTCTCACTTTCCCTCCCCCACAACCCCGTCTCTCTCAAATTGAAAAAATATAATAATAAAGTTAAATAATTCTTAAAAAAAAAAACCAACAAACTTCTGAGTCAGCTCAGAGCATTTAAAGAGCACAGAATTTTGGAGCTACATTGGGGAAGGAAAGTTTCTGTCATTTTTAAAGTTTATTCATATAAGGAGTGCATGTGTGTGCCTGAGAGATTTACTCACCCATGACAGACTCTCATCACATTATGATCTCTTCCCTGGGCTTCTAGCTTGTCTAGTTTTGGGCATACATGCATGCCACTGCATATTTTCAAGCCAGCCCAGGATCCAAACCCATAGTCGACCACGTGGTTTCCAAAACTGTGGTTCAGTTTCTACCAACAGTGCTACCAGACTGGGACCTGTTATTTATTTTTTTAATAGAAGAGATTTTATAAATATGTTTAAGAGACTACTATACGAGGAGATTTTAGATTGTTTATGGGGAAAAAATGGAGTTAAAGTACAAGTTTATTTTGTTGCAAAACTTTTTGGAATCCATACATATTTTTTTCATGATATTCGTATTTTTCATGAACTTTTTGAAGACCTTGTATATCTACCCTCTAGTGGACTATAAATGTTTTTTGCTCGTTTGGTTGGTTGGTTTTTAGAGAGATTTTTGCTATAGAATGTGTATGCTCACCAGAGAGACAGAAAATGAGAATCATCCCCTGGGGGATGGCCACACCACAGTCCCTTCTCCTTCAGTCTCCTCTCTGGACCTTGGGCATGCACACACACATGCCTGGTGGTAGTTTCAAGCCACCATGCCTGGGACTCGAACCATGGTCGGCCATGTGGGAGTCCAGTGATATAACCATGATGCTGTCTGCTGGTCCTTTGTCTGCTTTTTAATAGCACACTGAGCCTTTTTCTTTTTTTCTCTCTTCTCCCTATCTCCTTGCCTCTTCTTGTGTGTGTGTGTGTGTGTGTGTGTGTGTGTGTGTGTGTGTGTGTGTGAGAGAGAGAAACACACTATGTGTGTATATCCGCGTCTTGTGTGTGTGTGTGTGTGTGTGTGTGTGTGTGTGTGTGTGTGTGTGTGATGAAGAAGCTGATTCAATGGGTGGATACCATTGAGATCCACAGAGCTCCCAGGGCATGGTGATCATTGCTCTTATGTTTGGAGGGAGGACATGAAGTGGACTTGAGGCTCTTCTTTGCCGTTCTATCTTTGTGATCTTGAGTAATGAGAGTTACCATATGCTGAGTCTTATCACGTTTCAGATCCTGTATTAAACATTCTATAAACTTTATTTTACTCAGGAAAGTGCTTTCAATATGCTTGTTTAAGTCATATTCTTTTTTCTTTTTTCTTTTGAGATGTTTTTGCCTTAGAGCATGTTTTGTTTTTCTTTTGAGATGTTTTGCCTTAGGGCACATGTGTTTGTGGGGTTGTGGAGAGGAGAGATAGAGAGGGAAAGTGAGAAATCACCTCCAAGGTGAGGGGATGGCCTCTCTGCAATCCCTTCTCCTTTCTCTACCTGGGATCTTGGGCATCCACGCACACAGGCTCACATGAGTTTCAAGTAACTGGGTCCAGGACTCAAACAGTGGTTGGTCATGTGGGAATCCAGCGACGTAACTGCTACACCATCTGTTGACCCCAAGACAGTCATAACTCATTTTACCACATAAGAAAGGGTTGAGTACTTTGCTGAAGGTCACAAAGCTGATGGGGAGTGGGTTGGGGATTTGAAGGTAGAATAGTCTGACTCTAAAGCCAGTTCACTGGAGAAGTCACTCTTCAGTTTTCTAATCTGAGATGGCATGTGAGGGTATTCTTATGGGGACCTCTGACACCCATGAAATGCCAGTCACATACCCCCCACTTCTCATTCAGGGAGAGCACAGCCTCCCTGAGCAGATTTTTTCTTGGTCTGGAGTCTGTGAATGATTCAGTTCCGATTAAAACCCTCCAACCAAGATCTCTAGAGGTGCAGGTATGAAATGAGAAAGAGCAGAGGAAGGCTAAGGCCCTTTCTGATGTTAGTGTTTGCTATTGAGGTTTTAAATACTGCTGGTTTGTCAGAAAGTTAAAGCTATAAGCTCACCCTGGGAATAGTCATCAAAAGCGTGGCATGGTTGTAATGATTTGTAATGAATTAAGTACATGCTGGTAAGGTACCAGCTTAAGCAGCTGCTTAACAAGAGGTGGTGATTGGGTAGGGGGAGGCAGGGAGGAGTAAGGAAACACCAAAGGGTTTCAGTAGCAAGGCAGACAGGGAATGGAGTGGCTGAGAATGCAGCTGTGTCCTGATAGCCATTAGTGTTCACACTCCCATCTGCTAAACTAACCCTTGATTGTGTGGGAGGAGGACTGAGGAGTCAAGACCCTGCAGTGGCCTGGTCCCTCAGTCTGGTGTTGACAGAGCTGTTACAGAGCCCAGGGGACATAGAGTCTGTACCCAGCTGGCTTAGAAGCAGCAACAGCAAAGATTTTCCTGCATGGGGGGAAGCCTCATGGAGCTGCTCAGGGTGACAGCTCATCTGACAGGCCAGAGAATCCCTTTTATTACTTAGTGATATATGGTACCGGGGGCTACGTTCATACTCTTTTCATGTATTTCTCATTGACTAGTACAACTTAATATGCTTGATCTAATACAGCTGATATGATTCAGGTGCTTTGAACATGTGTTATTCCAGAAAACAGAAAATGAAAGTTTTCTACAGAGAATAACTTTGACTACCTACACCTATTAAAGATAGAGCAAAAAAGTTCCAGGCCAGTTTTACTTAAGGCTATTAGTGTAGAAGTTCTAAGTAAAATAGTAGGGATCAGAATGAAGTACTGTATTACGAAATGAATACATCAGAGCCAGCAGGTGGCATGATGGTTAAGGCTGGACTCCCATGTTTTCAACCATGGTTTGAGTCTTGGACCTGGTAGCTTGAAACTCACACTGGGTGCATATGTGTGTGTGTGTGTACGCACGCGGGCATGTGCATGTGCCCAAAATCCAAAGGGGAGAATGAGAGAGAAGGGGTTGCGGTGTGGCCATCTTCCCAGGGAGTGATTTTTCACTTTCCTTCTCTCTGTCTCTCTTTGGTGAGCACACGTGCCCTATGGCAAAAACCTCTTAAAAAAAAAAAAGAAATAAAAAAGTGAATGCATCATGACTAAGCAGGATTTTTTACAGGTTATAAGGGTAGACCATGGCTAGGAAACCCATTCACATAATTCACTCTATTAATAGATAGACATAAGGACAAAAAGCAATCTCTTCTCTCCATAAAGGCAGAAAGGTCTAACAAAAATTCATACCTGTTCCTGAATAAAACACTAAATAAGATAGAAATTGATGGGCTTGCCTCGCTCCATAAACGCTGAGAGTTTGACAAAATCAAAGCCTATTCCTGATTTTAAAAATAAGAAGAAGATAAAAATTGATGAATACATCCTTTAGGTTTTTTATACATTTTTTAATTATATAGACAAATTGTAGATATGTATATTTATAAAATACAAAGTAGCTTTAGGATTTTTAAACATCACAGAGAATCCTTGAAGTAAGGTAATTAACAAATACACCTGCAATATTTCACATTTTCTGTAATGAGAATATTAGAATCATAATCTCCTAACAATATTAGAAGGCACAATACTCAATTACGAGCTATGTTCACCATGCTTGCATTCACCTTCACAAACTCTTCTAAAACTGAGCATATCCCAGATGTCTTCTTGTTTCTATGTAGTTCCTGAAACTATGGTGCAAACATTTCTTTCTTTCTTTGTTTTTTGTTTCTTTTTTTTTTTTTTCAGGCTTTTGCCATAGTTTCATGTGCTCACCAGAGATCTCTTAGTTTTCTAAGTTAACTTTTTTCTTTCTCCCATGAGCAAGAGAGTGACAGGTATTCCCCACAGGGCCTTCACAATGCATTTCACTCCCAGCTTCAGCCAGCCTTTGATCAGGGGCATACCTGCACCCGGTGTGTTCATGGAGGTTTCTGGGTGTGAACAGAGAACCTTCCGACAAGGGCAGCCTTGCAGAGTATTGTGTTCATACTGTGCCACCTCCAGTTCCATGGATACCTCTTCAACACACAGTTCTAGGGATCATATCTTACTTGAACAACTCCAGTAAGCCAGGAACACAGCAAGGATGTCCAATATTTTCACTGCTTTTTAACATCATATTTGTGGTATGGCTAATGCAATGAAATAAAAGAACAAACAGTTAAAAGTGTAAGAATTTAAAACAACACATAAGGCCCAGCTGCAGGGGTGCAGGCAGTAGAGCACAGCCGAGCAATACTGCAGCCATTTGGGCCCCAGGGTTTGGGATCCAGGTTCAGTCTGAACATGTTGGCATACCTGCAGATACACCATGATCCTGGCCCACTAGGAGAGGAGGCTGGGTGCAGAGCACGTCACAGTGCAGCAAGACCATCAAGATTTCCTTCCTATACGTGTCTATCTGTCTGTCTTTCTCTCTCAAGAAATAAAGTGAAAAAAAAAATCAAAGATATTAGCTCTATCTGCATTAATTCATAATTTTATTGTGATCCCAGTAAAAAAATATGAACAAGTTGTTTTCTGGTGCTATACAAATGAATTTCGAAATTCACATGAAAAATAAACATGTAAGAATGACAAGGAAATGCCTGAAAAAGTAGAACAATTAAATGGGACTAACCCTCCCAGTTACACTGCAAATTCTGCCTGATTAAACATGAATCAAGGGCTTACAATTCTGAGCAGACAGACCAATGGGAAGAAAAGAAAAATTGAGAAGTAAATCCAGATGCAGGTGGAAATGTATATGAAGATAAGATACTGCTGGTCTGGAGACCACACTTCTAATCACAAGGCTTTGATATAAATAACTATGGGGTTAATAATAATCTTGTATATGGAATTTGAAAAACTCTGAAATAAATTCCTTTGTGGTGCCATGTAACTGTATGAATAATGGAAACTTCCAGAAATACTGTTTATTTTAGGTATAAACTAAGTCTAGTCTTTCTGTAGCCCTGTTGACAGCTTGCTAGCATTTTCTTGGATCTAGGGAACTGGATTATTTCTGTTGACACACATTTGAGAGGCTTGTAGTAAGTCTTTTAAGGCCTGGGAGATAAGTGGGCACTGATATGGATTTGACTTTGGAGTATAGCCAGTGAATAAATACACCAGAGGTGGGGGTGGGGTGGGGAACGATGGCTGTTAACCATGCACTTCCCGTTATAGGCTCAGTCAGGGAATATTCCAAGCACTGTGATGTTGGACAAACAGAAGGAACTTGATAGCAAGGTCAGAAACGTGAAGGACAAAGTGATGGTGAGTATGGGGTAAATACATACATTAATTCTCTAAGTTTTTGTAGAGGGGACATTTGACTCTTCTTAGGGTAAACCTTGTAACAATTCAGTCTTAGAAGTAAGTAGTTTTGCTGAAGTTCCAAACCGTAAATACACACACTGGTAAAACCAATGACCATGTAGTCTTTTTATGGCCCTGTTGTAACTTCCGAATATGAACACTTTCTTGAATGACCATGCAGTCAATGTCAACTTTGCTCCATTGCCCAGTAAGCTAGGTATGGCTACTATAAATAGCCCGTATGTCTACGCCTCTCAATTCACAGAGGTTAGACAAAGCTCCAGGATAAACTTGGCCCATCTTCCTCAAACACCTGCTTTTCTTCTGTGACTTAGAAAAGGAACAAAAACATGTTATTTAAAGAAGTCATGATACATTACTGATTAGAATGAGACATCCAGAGCAATTTTAAGATGAAACTTCCAGGACAGTTTATGGAAACTTATGATTTAACAACTTCATTGGGAAGCAGAGAACTCCTTTGGTGTATGTGTTGGTGTGTGTGTGTGTGCCTTCTCGCTACTGGTCGAGCTGTCTAGGGGAAAGGTAAGGAGTTCTGTCTTGGCTGAGACCTGCTTTTGTGGAACAGGCTTTCTGGGTAAGCAGTACATTCCT